AGTTTTAGAGATACACTTAACCAATCCTCTATGGTTTATGGCAATTGAATCATTGACTGACAAATAAAGTCAAGTGGAAATACCATAATTTCTATAAACCACTAACTGCGTGACGGCATCTCAGCTCTTCTAGCTGTGTAGAAAATTTGTACCTACACAATATACTCAAACTCAGCTAGAAAACCCGGAATTTCTTGAATTGAATTAGCCGAGAAAGAAATTGCGTTTAAGTTTCAATCATACTGGGAAAAAAACCATCTTTTCTGCTTTGGTTGTTTGATCAATTAAGTGAAATTTGCAGATCATAACACTGGTAGACAAATAAACATTACAGTCGATCTAGGACTAGGTTTACACTAAAGGAGTTTTTTGGATTCGTAAAAGTTCCCGAATTCATCAATTTTAGAGTATTCGGATTAGTAGAGGTTTACAGTGAAAGGATATTCGGACTCTTAATCGTTTATAGACGACGATAACTCCGGGAACATTCATGATGGAATGGTTAACAAGCAGTTTGTTGCCTCGACAACGAGAAATAAAATGCCTCCGAAAATAAGGCTAGGGGTAGGTTGAGACAGTCTTCAACTCGCTGACCACGGTACTGTTGTCCATCATGTGAGGTCCCTCCAGGTATTTATTCTGGTCTTTACTTAATATTTAGAACCGTCCAGGTTTTCGATCGTGCCATATCGTCGTCATTTGCGCAGTAAAGTATAAATCGGGTTTCTGAGGAGTATGGCATTACCCATTATAAAAGTGATTACCTACACCTGAAACAGCACGAGGGAATCACCCAGCGACCGCCATCAAATGGCCATCAATGTGCCTACGACTCAACTACGACTGGATCATGTAATCCACCATTTTCGTTCCACCGCAAACTCAAAAGATCACAGGCGGAAAAATATTCGGATTCGAGAGAAAATCGGTTACACGACAAAACTCTCCGGATTCAAAAGTTTTCGGATTCAAAGTTCCCACTTTAAATTCNTTTAAATTCCGGATTCAAAATCTCCGGAGACACGACCAAACCGGGGAGTTTTTATTTCGGATTCGTTCACTTTTGTGTAAACGGCAAAATCAATCCGGCACTAAAACGTTCCGGATTCATCACGAATCCCGAACAATTTCCTCTAGTGTAAACCTACAATCCTGGCCATAAGTTGTTGGGACACCTCCCCTTTTTGCGCGCTAAAACCCACGATTTCAACTACGTCCTTAACGTTTTAGAACAAAAGATGAATAGAAGCAAGTACAATTGACCCGCCCCCCTTTCCCCTAGCAATGTTGCATGAAAATGAAGCTATTCTGAAGACTAGATCGATTGTGGGAAAAAAGGAAAAAGGGACAATAGAAAGTGGTTAGACGGTTGTGCTGGAACCAAACGCGATTGCTGAAAAATCGCTATTATTGGAATAAGACGTGAATATCTATCTTATCATCTCTTTAGTTCGAGAATACTGTTCTAGGAGGCGAACAATTCTTGAAACGTGGCTATTCTGAAGCTATTGTCAAGGATTTTTTTCTTCAAGATTTTTNGAATCCGGAACAATTTCCTCTAGTGTAAACCTACAATCCTGGCCATAAGTTGTTGGGACACCTCCCCTTTTTGCGCGCTAAAACCCACGATTTTAACTACGTCCTCAACGTTTTAGAACAAAAGATGAATAGAAGCAAGTACAATTGACCNCCCCCCCCCAGCAATGTTGCAAGAAAATGAAACTATTCTGAAGATCGGATGTGGCAAAAAAGGAAAAAGGGAAAATAGAAAGTGGTTAGACAGTTGTGTTGGAACCGAACCCGATTGCTGAAAAATCGTTGTTATTGGAATAAGACGTGAATATCTATCTTATCGTCTCTTTAGTTCGAGAATACTGTTCTATAATAATAATAATAACAATACATAATATTTTAAGAGGAAGCCTCCAATCACCATAAGGTGGTTTTCAGGAGGGTCCTACAAGAGGCGAACAAGAGGGTCCTACAGGAGGCGAACAATTCTTGAAACGTGGCTATTCTGAAGCTATTGTCAAGGATTTTTTTGCTTCAAGATTTTTATCAACATTGACAGGGGGGAGGGGAGTAGGCGGGCTTGCGCGGTTTTGGTCTTAAGAGAGGCTGCCTGTGAAGTCATCTGCCGTAACTGTCCCAACACTTTTGACCAGGATTGTAGTCTTATATGAACAGCGAACATCCATCTTGTTTTGTTCGCGGAAGTCGGTCACGGAAGAGCGAATTTCAATGAAATATATATATAATTTGATTAACCATTTAGCCAGAAATAGGTTGGCCACCAAAANACAATTGACCCCCCCTCTCCCCTAGCAATGTTGCATGAAAATGAAGCTATTCTGAAGACTAGATCGGATGCGGGAAAAAAGGAAAAAGGGACAATAGAAAGTGGTTACACAGTTGTGTTGGAACCAAACGCGATGGCTGAAAAATCGCTGTTATTGGAATAAGACGTGAATATCTATCTTATCGTCTCTTTAGTTCGAGAAAACTGTTCTAGGAGGCGAACAATTCTTAAAACGTGGCTATTCTGAAGCTATTGTCAAGAATTTTTTTCTTCAAGATTTTTATCAACATTGATAGGGGGAGGGGAGGGGTAGGCGGACTTGCGCGGTTTTGGTCTTAAGAGAGGCTGCCTGTGAAGTCATCTGCCGTAACTGACCCAACACTTTTGACCAGGTCGGTCACAGAGGAGCGAATTTCAATGAAATATATATATAATTTGATTAAGCAATTAGCCAAAAATAGGTTGGCCCCCAAAACAGTTTAGGGTTTAGCCTAACGCTAACCTTAAGTTTTAAGACTGAAGAAAAAAAGAAAAAAAAGCATTGAGCATTTCAGTTGTTTGAAACAGAAACATTCGCGCACAATGAACTGTATGTATAGTACGTGGGTAACCAGGAAAGCAATCCGTCCAGCACAATAATTCTTCAAATTAACAGCTTACCGAGACACTCGCACTGTCGATGCCTCTTATTTATGACTTTAGGATTTGTTTACTTTACTTTTTCCGACTTTTTAGCAGGAGAAAAAGCACTAAATGTGCTGGTACAAATAAAAAGGTTTAACCGAAAATCGATCCGTCGAAATCAACAAATACAAATNATTTAGTTATCTTCTATAGCGTGACATCACAATTTCTTAGCTTTTTCCATTGGTTGGTTTTCGATTTATTTTTTTTTTTTTATTGCGTGACAATGAAAACGATCTGTACCGTTCGAAGAGTAAAACGGCAACTGTGGAATATTTTTTTGTAAAATGATAAAACATGTTTTTTAGTTCATAATTTTTTTACATGTTCTAACCTTCCTCTGATATAAATCCATGCCATTCCTTATTTTTTGATCGGGATCATTTGCGGTCCAATTTGGGGATCATTTCCGGTACGGGATCATTTGCGGTTCAATTTCGGGATCATTTGCGGTCCGGGATCATTTCCGGTCCTAGGATCATTTGCGGACCCGTACATAACTCTAACCTTAAGTTTTAAGACTGAAGAAAAAAAGGAAAAAGCATTGAGCATTTCAGTTGTTTGAAACAGGAACATTCGCGCACAATGAACTATGTATTGTACGTGGGTAACCAGGAAAGCAATCCGTCCAGCACAGTAATTGTTCAAATTAACAGCTTACCGAGACACTCGCACTGTCGATGCCTCTTAGTTATGGCTTTTAGGATTTGTTTACTTTACTTTTTCCGACGTTTTAGCAGGAGAAAAAGCACTAAATGTGCTGGCACAAATAAAAAGGTTTAACCGAAAATCGATCCGTCGAAATCAACAAATACAAATTTAATCACTGTNAAAATCAATCCGGCACTAAAACGTTCCGGATTCATCACGAATCCGGAACAATTTCCTCTAGTGTAAACCTACAATCCTGGCCATAAGTTGCGCGCTAAAACCCACGATTTCAACTACGTCCTTAACGCTTTAGAACAAAAGATGAATAGAAACAAGTACAATTGACCCCCTTCCCCCTAGCATTGTTGCATGAAAATGAAGCTATTCTGAAGACGAGATCGGATGTGGGAGAAAAGGAAAAAGGGACAATAGAAAGTGGGTAGACAGTTGTGTTGGAACCAAACGCGATTGCTGAAAAATCGCTATTATTGGAATAAGACGTCTTATCGTCTCCTTAGTTCGAGAATACTGTTCTAGGAGGCGAACAATTCTTGAAACGTGGCTCTTCTGAAGCTATTGTCAAGGATTTTTTTTTTCTTCAAGATTTTTATCAACATTTACAGGGGTACATCCATCTTGTTTTGTTCGCGGAAGTCGGTCACGGAAGAGCGAATTTCAGTGAAATATATATATAATTTGATTATGCAATTAGCCAAAAATAGGTTGGCCGCCAAAACAGTTTAAGGTTTAGGCTAACTCTAACCTTAAGTTTTAAGACTGAAGAAAAAAAGAAAAAAAGCATCGAGCATTTCAGTTGTTTGAAACAGAAACATTCGAACACAATGAACTATATGTATAGTACGGGCGTAACCTGGAAAGCAATCCGCCCAGCACAGTAATTCTTCAAATTAACAGCTTACCGAGACACTCGCCTCTTATTTATGATTTAAACTTTTAGGATTAGTTTACTTTACTTTTTCTGACTTTTTAGCAGGAGTAAAGGCACTAAATGTGCTGGTACAAATAAAGAGGTTTAACCGAAAATCGATCCGTCGAAATCAACAAATACAAATTTAATCACTGTAGCGTTCCTTCAGATCACGTAAGGCTACAAACCAACAATATCAACTTGTCATTACGCTTAACAAATGGACTTAGAACGATTTTCTTTCTAGACCTCGTTCTTGTAATGATCAAAATGATCTTAAAATGATCAAAGAAAGAACGACAGCTTAAAACGACATAGCAGTAACACCCGAACTCCAAGTAAACTGCTTTTAATTGCGTTTTTAATTAACGAAATTTCCAAAGCGATGACTTTCAAAATATTAAAGTTAAAAGTGGTCCAGTACGTTTCTCTTTTTTCACCCAAATGTTCTAAGATAGCCATCTGCGGTTTGTTGGAAACGAATTATGTATTCAGGATGACCGCCAGCGTCACGCAATTGTTTACATTCTCAAGGCGGTTCAGGGAAAAATTTATGTGAAGCACAGGCCAAGGCAGGCGACTTAAAACCATTTGCCCAGAGATATTTTTTGATTTTCAAACAGGTGGGTGTACAGTTAACCCGTAGAAAGTGTTTTTATGGCATTTAAAGTTATNGAAATCAACAAATACAAATTTAATCACTGTAGCGTTCCTTCAGATCACGTAAGGCTACAAACCAACAATATCAGCTTGTTATTACGCTTAGCAAATGAACTTAGAACGATTTTCTTTCTAGAGCTCGTTCTTGTAATTAAAATGATCAAAGAAAGAACGAGAGCTTAAAACGACATAGCGGTAACACCCGAACTCAATTGCTATTAATTAGCGTGTTTAATTAAGGAAATTTCTAAAGCGATGCCTTTCAAATTATTAAAGTTAAAAGTGGTCCATTACGTTTTTCTTTTTTCACCCAAATGTTCTAAGATAGCCATCTGCAGTTTGTTGGAAATGAATTACTGTATTCAAGGTGACCGCCCGCGTCACGCAATTGTTTACATTCACACGGCGGTTCAGGGGAAAATTTATGAAAAACACAGGCCAAGGCGGGCGACTTAA